TTGTTCTTCTTCTAGTTTAATTTCTAATAAATAACCATACAGATTTTTAATCACCTTTTCATCAGTACCTGTCAAAATCTTATCTAAGTCAGTCAATTTATCATAGAATCCTTCTGTTTTGAGATCTTTATCATAACTTGAATGTATTTGCACATATGAAAACCAATTCATCTTTATACCTTGTTCCTCTAGATTTTGCATTGATTTAAGCTCACCCTTTTCATTCTGGTTATCGACTATAGAAGCATTTTCTTATCCTATAATATATAAGAAGGAACAAACAGTTAGATATGGGGAAATATAGCACTCACAACTTCTGAACATAAGCTGTTCCACTGGATAATTGTTAATTGTGATGGCGAACCTATGGCACCCGTGCTACAGGTGGCACGCAGTCATTTGTGCCAGCACGCGAGCTGCAGGCAAACTTACCTCACTGTGCATGTGTGTGCCTCACAGGTGATTTTCGGCTGGTTTGAGGCCTTTTTCGGCCTCCCAGAGACTTTAGGAAGGCTTCTGCAGGCTTTTCAGGCCGAAAACTAGGCCCGTTTTATCACTTCCTGTTTTTCCAGAAATACTGGAAATGATGAAACGGGCCTAGTTTTTGTCCTGAAAAGCCTGCAGAAGCCTTCCTAAAGTCCTCTGGGAGGCCGAAAAAGGCCTCAAACCGGCTGTGAGGCGCAGTGCAGGTAAGGGGGCGACCGGGTTGGGTGGGGATTGTGCGCACATGCGTAGGGGGGGTGGGGGGGCATGCATTGCCTTCTGGGTGCTGGCACGCGAGCGTGCAAGTACACGCACAATTTTTGGTACGAGAACCCAAAAAGGTTAGCCATCACTGTTCTAACTATTAGGACATTTCTTAGTTCTAGGTTGATTCTCTCCTTGATTGGTTTCCATCCGTTGCTTCTTGTCCTGTCTTCAGGTATTTTGAGGAATAGCTTGACTCCCTCTTCTTTGGGGCAGCCCCTGAGATATTGGAAGACTGCTATCATGTCTCCCGTGGTCCTTCTCTTCACTAGACTAGACATACCCAATTCCAGCAACCGTTCTTTGTATGTTTTAGCATCCAGTTCCCTGATCACCCCTGTTGTTCTTTTCTGTGCTCTTTCCAAGTCCCAATGTTACAAAGTTTTGTTTTAGGGGATGCATGGTAAGATTTAAAATGGATTGTTCTACTGTATAGGTTTATCTCTTTTTCTTTATTTTGACGCTGTCTTTTCCTTTTGTTGCAGTTTTATTTATGGCTAAAGGCTGTAGGAAATCAAATTGAATATTTCTTTTTTCCCCCTGTACTTTGGATAATGTCCCTAACCACTAAAGTGAACAAAGTGATTGGTATCTATGTGTGCACTAAAAGAAAGAAAGACAAGACATCAGGGTAATTACAAAATTATCTGATATTTAGTATAAAATAAAAAAAGTAATTTTTCAATGAGGGAAATGCATAAATCTAAATAGACAATCAGAAATAGCTACTGTATAACTCTGATTTTGGGAACCAACATACTAGGAAAATGCTTCAACCAAACGGTTAGCAATAAGCCTGGAGGACAACCTTATCTGGGTTTTGTTTCAAGGCAGGCTGGCACCAACGTTCACTTTTGCACAACTGAGTTTTCTCGCTTTGAAATAACATCATCATCATCATCAATCACGGTTATCACGTTATTTAAAAATACAGACTTTGTCCAGTCAATCTCAACTCCTGGGAATTTCAAGGACCTATTAAAATTCAATTTTATTGCAATATAAAAGTGGTTGGCTACTCTCTTTCTCCAGGAAATATAACCAGGAGTCAAGTCTGACTTGAAGAGACACACATACACGATGTTCTTAGAAAGAGATGCTTCAGAATGCAGTAAAACAGTGCCCCCCCCAAAAAAACCTTTCAGGTTGGAGGCCCAGCCATGTGGGGGTGGCAAGGCATGTGAGCGGCAGGTGTGCGCATGCGCACACAGCTCCATTTGGGTGAACGGTGCACATGCCCATTATGTGCAACTGGAGCTTTGCGTGCAAGCGGAAGGGGCTTGAATGGAGGGCGGTTGTGCTCACGTGCAAAGCTTGCATGGAGGTCACTCGTGCTTGAAGCTCCATTCACGTGAGTGGAGCTTCGTGCATGACAGCAAGCGCCCTCTGCTTACACAAGTGGAGCTCCGTGTGCGTGTGCTTGCCCAATTTTCCTGTGGCCCAGTTTTGAACAGGCCGCAGCCCGGGAGTCATGCCCCTGTTGGAATCTTATTCCGAGGGAGAGGTGGAACATCTGACAGGGAGTGGGAGTGTGGCTCCGGTGGCCGTGGAGGAAACGGGGGAAGGGCACACTCTGGCTGGGCATTCAGAACAAGACCCAGGCCCACCCTCTCTTCATCCTAGGGCACGCAGAGACAAATGGATAAGGGAGCAACGTGAGTTGCGTGGTTTACGGGGAGGAAAGGGCCCTGATCCCCTTCACTGGCTGCAGCTGGGAAAACTGTTTAAAAAGGCAAACTATGCACAGCAAAGTTGCTGGAAGCAAAGCATGAATTATTTTGGTTTCTCAAGTCTTATCTGAGTTCTGGCGTCCTCCCAACTGTATGTGTTTCATTATCTTTTGAAGTCTTCAATTCCTTATCCTGCCCTGTCTTGTTAATTGCTGCAGCGTGGTTTGTGATGGTTTTTATTTATAATTTATATGTACTGTGGGTTCGGACAGAATTTCTTCCCTTTAAAAACTGTTCTTGGGAGAGTTTTTTCTCCAGCCGACGATAACTGGACATTGGGGGCCAAGTTGGAGGTATTAAAGGAACTTTACGTACTTTTGTGACTTTGTTACTTTTGTGCCACACCCTGGGTCATCACACCAAGGTTGGGGACCTCTGCACTAAAATGTCTTTTTAAAGGCAACCACAAATTTCTCCTAGCTTTGCCCAAAGCTGCTTTGGAAGCTGCTCCCAGATGTCTCCACAATGGAAGTGCAACTTCCATTTACAGAGAAAAAAGGTGCTGCTGTGATGACCCGGGAGAACGCACAAAAGTCACCCAGCCAGCTGAGCATTCAAACTCCCCCTTTAACGCTCCAAATTTACCCTCAAACGCTCCCACATTCTTGGCAAGTCCCAGGGCAAAGCGCACTCACATACTCACACACGGCAGCCTCTGACTGCGCCCAGTCCAGCAAAGCAAAGGAACATGGAAATGAGTCCACGAAACAAGGAACAAACAAGGGCCCACGAAGTCAAGAAGAAAACAAGGAGTCCACAAGTCAGGAAGAAGCGAACAGTCCCGCAAACTCCAAATGTCTGTATCGGCACACCAAACTCTACCAATTCAGCATTTGTACCTGACAAATGCCCCTTCCGCACACAGCACTCTCCTTAAATCTCTGTCCCCAGGTGTGCATAGTGAAGAGGGGCAGGGCGCTCTCCTCCCGAGTCGTCAGGTTGGCCTGTGCTGTTCCAGCCTGCTCTCCACTCTCCGTGCTCAGGGATCAGGAGTGGGCGGTCCTTGCTCATCGCCTGAGCTCTGTTGCTCCTCCTACCCATTGCTTGCCCTCTCTCGATCATCCTGCCCCCGTTCCTCCCTGCTAACAACCCATCCCAATCCTGAGGGGTGCTGGGCTGCCTCGGCCTGCTCCTCCCCACATCCCTCGGAAGCCAATGAAGCCACTCATCTCCATCAGCTCTAGCTCCGGCTCATCCTCCCCCGCAGATTCAGGCTCCGAGCTCGGGCTCCGACCGGGGCATGACAGCTAAACTGTCTAAGCTTCTAAGGCAGTATATCTCAACCGTAGCAACTTTTAAGATATCCGGTACGGGAATAAAAAAATAGGCTATTGGTCTATCAGATTCAACAAGGCCCTTGGATGATAGCAGACCCCAGAATAAAAGAGACATGAACCAAAGTTTTAGACAGGACGATTTCAAAATGTACCAGAACTATTTGTAATCCTGCTGTTTTGTGGATTGTGATTTTGCAAAGCACGTAGTTTTGAAAACCGTGAGGAATAGGGAACAGAAAGTAGCCGATGGATAGAGGCTTTAGATGTTCACGGGTGTATGTGGAGACTGTCAGGAAGAAAGAACAGAGAAGTAAGTTGTAAAATGCGTGCAGAAAAGTATAAAAAGAATGTCTTGGGATATGTTCAGGGCCACTGGCCATGGCTACTCCTTGCCGGACTCAACCATGTCAGTAGACTTTATTGCAATGAATTGTTTGATATAATTTGTGTTATGATGGCTGCTCATGTTCCAAATTGCTCATGAAATAAAACCTCTGATCTCAAAGTAGAACTTATTGCTTGTGGTTTGTCTGTGTTCCTCTTTTACTGAAATAGTTTTATGACACTGGACATCAACTCTTAATCTTTTTTAGCAGTGGCCATGCTGGCTGGGGAATTGTCCAAGCATCTTAAAAGTTTCCATGGTTGAGAAACACAGGTTTGGAATTACACTTTCCTAGCTATCTCGCTGCAATTCTGAAGGTGATGCAAGGCTTGTGATATTCCTCTAAAACTGTTGTGATTAGCCGGCAGCAGGTGCAGAGGGCTGAGGAGAGCGAGGACTCAGATGAGGGGCCAGGACCTTTAGGGAGTGGACTGCTGCCTTCAGGGATTGGGGGCGGGCTGGCAGCAGCGATGAGGGGGTTCCCAAGGAGCCTGTGCCAAGTGCGCGCAGGGCTCCTTGGAGGAAAAAGCAGCTACAATAGCACGGGCGACTCGGGAGTAAGGCTGCAAGGTAATGGCCCCTCCTTCAAGAAGATAAAAGCCAGCTGTGAAACGAACGTACTTTGCAGAAGGCAAAGACGTTTTGAAACTCCAGCCTTGTGGACATTCCAGTATCCTGAGTTTGTATTTGAAGATTCTTATATTGCAAATTATTTATTGTCTGTTATCTTTTGGCAAGTCTCGCACAATTTGGCAAGGCTTGTGCTTATCACAGCTAATTATTTTGTAAAAGCATTACAAGGTTTCTGTTCCTTTTCGATTTGTGTTTGATTTGTTGGAAAAGGGCGTGGGTCAGAAAAACAAGTTTCATCCATGCGAGGTATCAGCCAAGCAGCCTATATCAAAATGTCCTTTTCAGGCCTACATGGGTTTTCTCGTGGGCGCTGAGGCCTGCCTTTTGGCTGAACCGCCTCTCGCAAAGCGCACATTTGTAGGGTTTCTCTCCCGTGTGCAGCCTCATGTGGGTCATGAGGTTCCCCTTCTGGTTGAAGCCCTTCCCGCACTCAGAGCAAAGGAAGGGATTCTCGCCCGTGTGGATCCGCTCGTGGATGAGAAGCCGGGATCTCTCCGGAAAGCTTTTCCCGCAGTGAACGCATTGGTAGGGTTTCTCTCCGCTGTGCAGCCTCTCGTGGATGGTCAAGTAATGCTTCTGGTTGAAACGCTTTCCGCAGTCCGGGCATCGGTACGGCCTCTCTGCCGCGTGCGCTCGGAGATGCTCCTGTAAGACTGAACAGGACCCGAAGTTTCTTCCGCAATAACAGCAGTTCAATGAAGACCCTCCGCTATGGATGCTCAAATGCTCCTTGAACCTTGAAGCAGAGTGGAAGCGTTGATCACAGTGGGAGCATTTCATGCTTCCCGGAGCCGCGTAAACTCCCGACTGGGTTATAAAGGCCTGGCTCGATATCACGCTGTTCCCACCCTGTGAAGATGGATACGATTTCCCAGCCGTATCTGTACTTTGACGCGGAAGAAGATCCGAGGTTTGTCCAAAGTTCTCTCTGGGAACCTCCAGTTTGGGGTGCTGCACCTGGTCACCCAGGAATTTCTGCTGTTCTGAAGCACTGCTCGGATCATGAATGCACAACATAGACAGGTCCACCCCCTTCTCAAGGCCCGTTGCTGGCACGTTCCCCCTTTCTCTTGGACCTTCCAACATCGCACCATTCTTACAGTATGGGAAATCCTTGTTTGTTTCCAGAGAAACATCCTTGGGAGCCCTCTGTTCTTGTCCTTTGGGATGAATGGAGGTCACCTCTTTCTCCCATACCTGCTCATCACCTGCAGAAAGGAAACAAGACATTCTCATTCAGGATCTAGTACAGCGGTCGCCAACCAGTGGGACGGGGACTGCTGGTGGTCCGCAAGAACATTTTGGTGGTCCGTAGCGAAGTGTCATCCCCAAAGCACCTCCCAAAGCAATTAATCCAGGCTGCGTGGGAACACAAGGTTTGCGTCGCTTGCATTGCGAACAACACGAGGTAGTGAGGGGAGGGGGGAAAGGGCGAAGAAGAGAACTTGCCCCACTCACCCCACGCCTGGCCACCGGGCTGCTTCTTTCCGCTTCTTTCTTCTTCTGTTTTTGGCTGCAGGCAAGGAAAGCAGCAAAAGTCTTTCTTTCTCTCCCCCAAACTCCTCCAGAAATGAGTCTTTGGGACCCTGCAAGGCCTCCTGCTCCAAGAGGCTGCACCGGTGCAACAAGTCTCACAAAGACTCATTTCTGGAGGAGTTTGGGGGGAGAGAAAGAAAGACTTCTGCTGCTTCTGCTGCTTTCCTTGCATGAAGCCAAAAGTCTCTCTCTGTCTCTCTCTCTCTCCCCCTGAGAATGGAGCTGGAGACGGTATCCTGCGATCCCAAATAAAGAATGATCGATCGGTAGGAAAACGGAGTGGGGAATTTTCCTGCAGACTTTGGGGGTGATTTTCCCAGGGTCTCTGGTCCGCGGGATTTAAAATGATGAGTTTGGTGGTCCCTGAGGTCCAAAAGGTTGGCGACCCCCTGATCGAGAAGGCAAAATCACAAAACTGCATATTACTTATTTTGGCTACATCATGCAGAGGAATTTACCGGAGAAAGCAATTATTATTTGGAAGAGTTAGCGGTAAAAGGCAACCAGCCCGTCAAAGAACGTGGTGGCGGGATACCATCAACACTTACACCAGCCAGAGCATAAAACAACTCAAAGAAGCAGTGGGTCAGCTTCCAACTTATGCTGGCTTATGTGCTACTACATGGTGACAATCTGCCATGAATTTTGGGGAGGGTGGATGGGAGGGCAAATGCTTGTGGAAAAGTGAAAGTAACTGCTCTATCTCCCTGAGATGCTGCTTCAAGGTCACCCGGTTGGGAGAAGGCAGCTGCATACCAACCTACGCTTGAAGTGAATGTTCCTAAAACATCTTGCTTAAATCTGATTGGTCACGGAGGGGGTCAGCCACGGGAGACAGTGCTGTTGTAACTTGGAACAGTCACTAAATGAAGTGTTGTAAGTCGAGGACTACCTGTACTTTCAGACTTGCAAGATTCTGCTAATGTAGCCTTACAATAAAGTAGAGCATGTCTTAAAAGCCTCTATGTACTGTACTCTTCATCTAAAAGCAGCTTGCGTCTTTTAAAAGGATCTTTGGATGTTTAAAAGTTTTGTTTGAAGAAACACCTCTCCTTTACTTCAGAAGCCCAAAATGCGGTTTTAAAAACAGGCCAAAGTCAACAGGCTTGGCAGTAGATATTTAAGAGTAAAAAGATCAGCACCACACTGGTGGCATTTGAAGAAGGCCTTAGTCCAAAATTGTTGTGTCTCAGCAGCAACAGAAGAAAAGAAACTGAAGCTGACCCTTCTAAGAAACACAGAACGTTACTGTCATGCCCCTGTTGTAATCTGACTCCGAAGGAGAGGAGGAACAGCCAGCAGGGAGTGGGAGTGTGGCTCTGGAGGTTGTGGAGGAAACTGGGGAAGGACACAGGCCAGCTGGGAAGTCAGAGGAAGACCCAGGCCCATCCCCTCTTCATCCTAGGGCATGCAGGGAGGAGAGGATAAGGGAGAAACATGAATGGTGTGGTCTACAGGGGAGGAAGGGGCCCTGATCCCCTTCATGGGCTGCAGCTGTGAGGACTGTTTATAAGGACAAACTGTATGGCCAAGTGCTGGAAGCAAAGCATGTTTTATTCTTGTCGGAGATTATCTGTGTTTTTGGCTTCCTCCCAACTGGGGTGGCTGCATTATCCAGTAGAAGTCTGCAATTAATCATCCATGCCTGCCATAGTAATTTCTTCAGTGTGGTTTGTGTTTGATTTTTTTTAATTTCGAATTAACTTTACTTTGGGTGCAGACTGCATTTACTCCCTTCGTAAACTCTTTTAAGAGTTTGATTTCCCGCCGAGGATAATCTGACATTGGGACCAAGTTGGAGGCATTAAAGGAACTTTATTATATTTTTGTGACTTGGTTTTATTTTTGTATCATGCCCCGGGTCATTACACTTACACAGCCATGTTGCCTCTTTGCTCTCGCCTTCCTTGGTGTCTCTGCTGAGCTGGGCAGCCCAGCAATCCAGAGCTTGTCCTGTCTCAGAAGGTTCCACAGACTCCTCTGTCGGTGGCACCTAAAAGAGCATCCAAGAGAGGATTAATTGAGACGGTAGGGGCTTGAACGCAGGGAGGGAGCCGATGCCCAGAGACCAGTGAGATTTTTTTTCCCCATTGAGGATGAATGAAAAGAACTTGTCTAGGAATGCTCAGTGTCTACAGGTAGTCCTTGACTTATGACCAGTTGCTGCTTAGCAACCGTTTCAAGTTACGATGGACCAACCTTGGAGCTACTTACGACCCAGGTGTGAAGTTCCAATGGTCGCTCACCCCTGGAGTCACATGACTAAACCTGTAGGGCCGTTTGCAGTGTCCCACTGTCATGTGGCTGCATTTTACGATGGTTCTGCCGAAAAAAAGGTACATACTTCCAATTTTTGGCAGATCTGCACTGATAGTGAATCATTGGGTTCATGCAACGACTGCAGTGTTTGCTTAACGACTGCAAACAAGGTAATAAAATCAGATAACAGATAATCAGAGTTGGAAGGGATCTTATAGGTCATCTAGTCCAACCCCCCACCCAAGCGGGAGACCCTACACCATTTCTGACAAATGGCAGTCCAATCTCTTCTTGAAGGTCTCAAGTGATGGCGCTCCCACAACTTCTGAGAGCAACTTCTGTTCCATGGGTTGATTGTTCTCACTGTCAAAAAGTTTCTCCTTATTTCCAGGTTGAATCTCTCCTTGATCAGTTTCCATCATTAGACTTATGACTGCAACGGACAGACTCCATACAGTCATAAGTCAAGGACTACTGAGACAGAGAGGGTTTGGTCAAAACTGACAAGATGGTGGACCCTGAGATGTCGAAGTGTTAACATTGCCAAAGTTGATACAGGTAGTCCACAACTTATGACCCAAATTTATGTTGCTAAGTAAGAAATGTGTTCGCTGAATTTTGCTCCATTTTTATGACTTTTCTCGCCACCTTTATTAAGCGGATCACTGCAGTTGTTAAGTGAATCTGTTTTCCCCACCGACTTTGCTTGTCAGAAGGTCGCAAAAGGGGGAATCATGTGACCTCGGGACACTGCAACTGTCATAAAAGTGAGTCAAGCATCCAAGCATAAGTCACGTGGCCGCAGGGATGCTCCAATGGTCATAAATGTGAAAAACGGTCATCGGTCACTCTTTTCAGAGCCATTGCAACTTTGAATGGTGACTAAGCAAACCGTTGTAAGTCGAGGACCTCCTGTGTAAAGAGAGAGACTTTGAGCAGATGGTTGCAACTCCCCTTGGCCTCTTTTAACACGTCCAACCTCCCCTCTCCCTGTGTCATGCCCCTGTTGGAATCTGATTCGGAGGGGGAGGCTGAGCAGCTGACAGGGAGTGGGGGTGGAGCTCCGTTGGCTGTGGAAGAAACTGGGGAAGGGCAAAGTCCAGCTGGGCAGAACAGGGGAGAGGTAGAGCAGGAAAGAAGGAATTCAGAGGAAGACCCAGGCCCACTCCCTCTTCATCCTAGGACACACAGGGAGGAATGGAGAAAGGAGCAATGTGGATTGTGTGGCTTACGGGGGAGGAAAGGGCCCTGACTCCCTTCATTAGCTGCAGCTGTGTTTAAAAAGGGAAGCTGCATACAGCAAAGTTGTTGGGAGCAAATCGTGAATTTATCTGGTATCGGCGAGGCTTATCTGGGTTCCTGGCGTCTTCCCAACTGTGTGTGTTTTGCTGGCCTTTCAAGTCTGCAATTCCTTCTCCTGCCCTGTCAAGTTAATTACTGCAGTGTGGTTTGTGTGGATTTTTATTTACAGTTGTAATGTACTTTGTTTTCAGACTGAATTTCCTCTACTCTTGGGAGAGTTTTTTCTCCAGCCAAAGGTAACCTGGACATTGGGGGCAAAGTTGGAGGTACTAAAGGGACTCTTCTTACTTATGTGACTGTGTTGCCTTTGTGCCACGCCCCGGTCATCAACCCTGTTTTAGGGGTGCTAAAATCCTCCCACCTTCGTTTCCAATTTTGCGGCCTCTTTCTGCTTCGACAGGAAGTCCTCAGCCAAGGCCACTGCCTGGGTGCAGCTGCCGGGCTTACGTTTCCTGACCCAAATTTGCATCTCCACCGGCAGGATACTGAGGAACTGCTCCAGGATCAGCAGTTCCAAAATCTCGTCTTTTGTGCGTCTCTCGACTTTCAGCCACCCACAGCCGAGTGCCCGCAGTTGCCCACAAACGCCTCTCGGGCCTTCCGTGTCCCGGTAGCGGAGCTGCCGGAAGTGCTGGCGTTGCCTCTCCCTGGCGGCAGCCTCTTCTTCCAAGATGGCGGCCTTCACCGTCTCATAGTCTGCTCTCTCTGGAACACGGAGGAGGCTGAAGGCTTGCTTGCCCTCTCCACTCAGGGCTGGCTGGAGAAAGGCCACCCACTTATCCCGAGGCCATCGGCAAGCGGTTGCGACTTGTTCAAAGGAGGCCAGGAAGCTTCTGGCATCGTCCCAGGGAGTGAGCCGATCAGGCATCTGTGGAGCCCCCCACTCCAAGTCTGGTGCCTTCAAGGTCTTGAGGAACTCCTGCCACTGGTTCTCCCAGGGATCTTGCAAACCCTCGGCGGGTTCCTCCTTCACGTGATGTGGTGGTGCCTCCATCAGCAGCTCTTCGGAGCTGTTCATCTGTGCAACCAGCGGAGCTTTGGAAAGATTCTCTATTCTTTCCCAAGCACTCAGTCCTGCGGCCACCTGCTCATCCATCGAGGGGGGGAAAATGGGACGATGTCTTTTTTCTCCCAACTGTCTTGTCTTCTAGTCTCTCAGCACTTCTTCTGAAGGTGGCCCAGATCAGCTAGCTGGCGAATGACAGGAACTTCTCTAATCGACCTGCGTGGGGAGGAAGAGATATTTTCAATCATGGAGGCTACAGAGAATCCTGGCTTACCCATGGCTCGTTTTATGACCAGTCCCTACCATCACATGATCACGATTTGGGCACTCGGACCTCAGCACGCATTGATGATAGTTACAACATCCTGCGGTCATGTGATCGCTATTCGTGACCTTCCCCATTGGCTTCGACAAGTCAATGGTGATGGGAGCATAATTGGAAGACCTGAACAATTTATCGATCCATAGATTTATCTATCTATTTATTATTATTTATTATTTATTTATTTCGACAAGTCAATGGTGATGGGAGCATAATTGGAAGACCTGAACAATCTATCGATCCATATATTTATCTATTTATTTATTTATCTATCTATTTATTTATTATTTATCTATAGATCTATCTAGGGATATCATATGTCCTTTATTATAAAGGATAATCCATTATTTCAGAAAGCTATCCCTTATATTCCCCCCCCCCCCGGTTTTGCTCTTGAATTTTCCTCTGCACAACAAACTTGTAAACATAAACACTTATTTAAAAAAAAACCTTTATGGATCTCTATTAGATTGGTCTCCTGTTCAGAATTGTTCTTTATTTTTTTCCAAGAAAAGACAGTCACTGTAGAAGAACAGGATGGTGAAAATCTACCTATGTGTCGCTAGGAGACTTTATAGCAATAGCACTTAGACTTATATACCTCTTGATAGTGCTTTTACAGCCCTCTCTAAGTGGTTTACAGAGTCAGCCTATTGTCCCCAACAATTTAGGTCCTCATTTTACCCACCTGGGCAGGATGGAAGGCTGTGAGTCAACCTTGAGCCTGGTGGGATTGGAACTGCCAAATTGTAGGCAGCTGGCTGCAGAAGTAGCTTGCAGGACTGCACTCTAACCACTGCGCCACAGAGACTCATAATGGCACACATCAATCAAAAAAAAAAAAATGCAAATATTATTGTTATGGTACCCAAATCAGAGACTGGCTACAATAGGACCAATCAATACGCCTGTAAAATGAAAGGCAGCTGTGCTACCACCATCTCCTAAATCAGGGGTCTTCAAAACTTGACAGCTTTAAGACTTGTGGACTTCAACTCCCAGAATTCCCCCTCCAGTCATATTAGCTCAGGAATTCTGGGAGCTGAAGTCCACAAAGTCTTAAAGCTGCCAAGTTTGGGGATCCCTGCCCTAAATTAAAAGAACCTCCAGATCCAGCTGCAGACTACCATAAAGTTTCGGATGCAAAGAATGCATCACTTTCCTAGATCGCCTGCCCCCCCCCCCCGGTCCTCCCTGGAATGCTTCTTCCCGGTCCACCCCCGCAGCAGCATTTTCTCTCCAGTCGCCTCTGCTTTTCTTTTATAGCCTCTCTTCCTCTGGAATATTTCTTGCTCTCCTCCAGCCAAAACACGCCCCCGTTTCCATCAACTCACTTCTCCCTGCAATGCAATGCAATGCCTTTCCGCCCTCTGAGCCAGAGGAGACGCTTCCCACAGGCGCGGAGGGCCGCCCAAGCTAAGAAGATCCAGAGCTTGTATTCAAAAATGAGATTTCCCACCAGGAAGAGGTGGGGAAAAAGGGCACCGGAAGTGGCTTCACCCCTTTCTTCTACACGGCACTTCCGGTAGTTTTCTCCAAGCGAGGTGGAGGGCTCTCCTTTGCTCCCCCCACTCTAGGAGTGTTCAACTCGATGAATTTAACCCGTTCCGGGTGTCTCTGTAATAATATGGTACTTCAAGGGTCTTCAAACTTGGCAACTTTAAGACTTGTGGACTTCAACTCCCAGAATTCCTGAGCTAACATGACTGGAGGAGGGATTCTGGGAGTTGAAGTCCACAAGTCTTAAAGCTGTCAAGTATGAAGACCCCACTTGGTGCTTTTTTTAAAAAAAAAAAATCCTTCCAAATGAAACCGATCTCAAGAAATGAACGAAATCTAGGTAGTCCTTGCCTCATTGGTGACCGATCGAAATTACGACAGCAGGCCCTGAAAAATGTGACTTTTGACTGTGTTTCACCGTTATGACCTTTTGCGGCATCCCTAGGGTCACGTGATTAAAATTCAGAGGTTTGGCAACCGGTTCATACTTATGGCCGTTGCTGTGTCCCAGGATCGGGTGATCCCCTTTTGCGACCTCACAAGCAAAGTTGGCAGGGAAGCCCGATTCGCTGAACGGCCGACTTACTGATCAACGGCAGCAATTCACTTAACGTCTGAGGCAAGTGAGGTTGTAAAATGGGACAAAACCCTCTTAGCAAATGTCTCCCTTAGCAACAGAAATTTTGGGCTCAATTGTGGTCGTAAATTGAGGACTATGGGAATTCTAAGTAGAGTTAAGCTATTATGGAGTGAAAAGGGAGAGAAATATTCTGAGTTGACACAACCAGGACCTGGTTGATTGAGAATTCAGCAACAGAGTGGTCAATGTCTGGAATACACTACCTGATTCTGTGGTTTCTTCCCCAAATCCCCAAAATTTTAACCTTAGACTGTCTACTGTTGACCTCACCCCTTTCCTAAGAGGTCTCAAACGATCCATCTGTTGAAATACTGTAGTTTGCTGATGACACAACAGCGATTGGTCTAATTCGAGACAACAACGAATCCACATACAGACAGGAGGTTGTACAGCTTGCCTCGTGGTGTAACCGGAACAATCTGGAACTGAACACACTCAAAACCGTAGAAATGGTGGTAGACTTTAGAAGAAACCCTCCCATACTACCACCTCTTACAATACTAGACAACACAGTATCAACAGTAGAGACCTTCAAATTTCTAGGTTCTACTATATCACATGACCTAAAATGGACACCTAACATCAAAAATGTCATCAAAAAAAGCACAACAAAGAATGTTCTTTCTGCGCCAACTCAGAAAGCTCAAAGGAGCTGCTGATCCAGTTCTAAAGGGGAATTAATGAGTTTGTCATCCTCACCTCTATAACTGTCTGGTTTGGTTCTGCAACCCAACAAGACAGACACAGACTCCAGAGAGTAATTAGGACTGCAGAAAAAACAATTGCTACCAACCTGCCTTCCATCGAGGACCTGTATACTGCACGAGTCAAAAAAAGGGCTGTGAAAATATCTACGGACCCCTCACATCCTGGACATAAACTGTTTCAACTCCTTCCCTCAAAACGACACAAGGACATTTCCCCCACAAAAGCCATCACTCTGCTAAACAAATAATTCCCTCAACACTTTTCAACTATTTACAAAGTCTGCACTATTATTACTATTAATCTTCTAATCACTCCTTGTCACCCATCCCCTCCTGCTTGTGACTGTATGACTGTAACTTTGTCATTTGTACCCTTATGATCTATATTGACCGTTTCCTAGTATGATTTGATTGCTTAGTGTACCCTATGATTATTATTAAGTGTTGTACCTGATGATTCTTGACGAATTTATTTTATGTATACCGAGAGTATTTGCACCAAAGACAAATTCCTTGTGTGTCCAACTACACTTGGCCAATAAAGAATTCTATTCTGTTCTATTGTATTGGTAGCCATTTTGTGTATTCATAATCATGTTTATACTTATACCTGTTATCTAATACTTGCTTGACAAATAAAATAAAATAAATAAATAAAAAACCCCAAGAAAGTCCAGTTGCCATTTGAACAAGCACTTTTGGGACGTAGATTCAGTTGAACTTCAAACTTGAGTCTCTCACTGAATTGAAGAGAATGTGGCACGGGACAGTACAAGGATGCATCCAAAAGCGCATTAACTCAGTTCTTCGAAGTACCACAACCACCCACAAATTTGACTTTGCTCACTATGATCCAGGGAGGAGTTTCGAAAGTTGCAGATTTCAGTGTAAAATTTGACTTTTGTCAGGCCTGCCTCAGCTTGAACCTCTAAGAACAATCCTTAACTCCATTTGTTGAGAAAGGTATAGTTTCCTAGAAGTCAAGTGCACTACTGCAATTCACTTGACTTCTAGTAAACGCGACCTTTCTCAGCGAATGGAATTAAGGATCATTCTTACTTAGGGGTTCGAGATGAGGCAGGTCTGACAACTTTCTTTTTACAAGGCTTAGGGAAAATATCCCACATCTGGATTTTTTTACCTTCAAATGTCTCCATCAGCCAGCATTCAGCTATTTTTACCAAATCCCTTCTTGGATACTTATTTTCTCAGAATCAAGTAAAAGGAAAAAAAAAGTCTGAAACATATTTATTATTTAAAATGACCTATGTTCCCCTTCATTCTTTTGGGGAACATCAGGGTGGTCTACAACCAACTTCATCACATACAAATACAATAGCAAAGAGCACCATACAAATATATACAGTATATATCAAAATACAGAAGCCTGATGATGGCAGATGAGATTCTGCCGAAACGTTGCTACAACTTTAAAAGCACCACTACTATGACGTGGGAAAATACCCGAACAAAGCTGAATACCATACATGCAAGTACCCGCAAAAACTTAAGAAAACATATATATCAAAATATATATACTTTAAAACAAGTGACAATTAAAACAATTAAATTGACCAGTGATTTAAAACGTTTGCTGCATATCAGAAATAGGATAATGTGAGGACCAAAATTGTTCTAAAGGACAGAAGTGAGATGGAAAGTAATGAAAGATTATGGATGCGATAAGAAGTTCTAATGAAAATATCATAAACTACAATAACACATGTCAACTATTGTCAAGGTTGTAGATGTGTGTATTTGTGTGTATGGGTATATGTGCTTCATATGTACACTGCCTTTCCCTAATTGAAATGTAAATTTTTCTAAAAAAATGATTGTAAACGTTTTTTTTCAACAGTTTAAATCAGATTTCCAGTGAAGGACAATTTGACAGAGATAATCTGTTCTCTTCCACATTCTTCTAAAGATACACATCAAGGTATTGAGGAATGCGTGCATTTTACACACATACACAAACACACACACGTTCCTAAAAGGCCTACTATCCTCATTGTCTCAATTCTTCGTTCTGTGTATTCATAATACTTTGTTTTAAAAACTTGATTGCTTTGTAGATTTCAATAGCACCTTTTTTCAAATGCCTTCCTCCTTTAAAATTCACTTACCCGGGGACAAAAAGTCAGAATACTTAACAATGTTAGGATGGACGAACTTCAACTCCCAGAATTCCCCAGCCATCTAGTGAAATCTGGAAGTTGAAGTCCACACGACTTTGAAGTTGCCAAGGTTAAAAAAGAGGTTTAGGAAGTAGACAGGCAACTGAGAATATTACAGGGACGTGGAGAAAATGAAAATTGAGATCTTTTTTTCTGGAATCCAAGATAATCACAGGGCATTCTTAGTCTATGTTGAAAGTATAGAATCTGTTATCAAAAGATGTTAATTATCCTTACATGAATGGCAGTTTGTAAAAACGTGGACCAGAGGTGAGATTCAAAATTATTTACTACTGGTTCTGTGGGTGTGGCTTGGTGGGTGTGGCAGGGGAAGGATACTGTAAAATCCCCATTCCCTCCCCACCCCACTAACCTGATTTCCAGCTCCGTTCTCCTTTGCAAGGCAACAGAAGAAGACCCAGCCGATCAGCTGGGACTCGGGAGGCAGAGAATAGATGTAGGCGGGGCCAGTCAGAGGTGGTATTCCAAACTACTCAAAATTTCCAGTACTGGTTCTCCAGAACTGGTCAGAACCTGCTGAATACCAGCTCTGATGTGGACAAATGAATGAACAACAAGACAATAAAAATTAACAATACCAAAACGCAATAAAAATCAAGACTGGTATGAGAGATGACCAATTGCTGTGTGATTCTTCCCATGATTGCATGCTTCTTCCTCTAATTTTTGCCTGAGAATCAAAATTTAATTTGAACAAATTCCAAACAAATCATTTATATGGGTTTCTCCCCCATGTAAATTGATTGATGAGCTATTTTCCTTCCTACCAACATTCATTGACCCTCACCTGTCATTTATAATATCTCTCCCTTGTGTGCATTTTTTTGATTGTCTGATCAGGTTTTTCTTATGACTGAAACTTTTCCCACATTCTAAGCGGGTGTATTTCCCCCCCCGTGTGAATGCTCTGATGCTGGAAAAGGTTGGTACGCTGGCTGAAACTCTTCCTACACTCCGAACATTGATATGGTTTCTCTCCGGTGTGAATCCGTTGATGTTTGGTGAGGTCTACTTTCTGACCGAAACACTTCCCACAGTCTGAGCACCGGTATGGTTTCTCTCCTGTGTGGATTCGGTGGTGCCTCGAGAGGTTTTTCTTGTGATTAAAGCTTCTGCCGCATTCCAGACACTTGTACGGTTTCTCCCCAGTGTGGATCCTTTCGTGACAACTGAGGATGAGTTTGTGACTGAAGCTTTTTCCCGCAGACCGAGCAAGCGCACTCCTTCCCGCCTTCGTGAATGAGCCGGTAATTCCGGAGCCCCGTGCTCTGACTAAAAGTTTTCCCGCACTGCGGACACTGATGCGGTTTTGGGTGTTTGAAGATGCTTTGGTGCGCAGCGAGATACATGGCTGGATTGTCACATTCCAAATAAGAGAACCCCTTCTCTTCCAAATGATGCTTCACGAGAATGATCTTCTGAGTGAAGCTCTTTCCGCACTCTAAGCATTTAAATGGCTTCCTCTAGGTGTGGGTCCTTTCATGGTAAGTCAGACCAGTCCGGGAACTGAACCTCTTCCCGCACACCAAACACAGGTACGGCTTCTCCCCTGTGTGAATTCTTTGGTGAGCGGTGAGATTCGTCTTATGACCAAACGTCTTGCCACATTCTAAGCACTTATAAGGTTTCTCGCCCGTGTGAGTCCTTTGATGTTTCGTCAGGCCCGTATTCTGGCTAAAACTCTTCCCACACTCCCGACATTGATAGGGTTTCTCTCCGGTGTGAATTCTCCGGTGAGAAAGGAGATTTATTTTGTGACTGAAAGTCTTCCCGCATTCCGAGCACTCGTATGGCTTCTCCCCGGTGTGAATTCTCTGATGGGACGTGAGATTGATCTTCTTCACGAAGCTCCGGCTGCACACTAAGCAGGCGTAGGGTTTCTCACCCGTGTGAATTTGTTTGTGCTTGGTGAGGCTCGAACTCTGGCTGAAGCGCTTTCCGCACTCAAGGCACGCATAGGGTTTCTCGCCCGTGTGAATTCGTTTGTGCTTAAGGAGGCTGGAACTCCGGTTGAAGCATTTTCCGCACGCCAGGCATTTGTAGGGTTTTTCTCCCGTGTGAATTCTTCGATGACAGGTAAGGTGGTTTTTATAACCAAAACTTTTTCCGCACTCCAAGCACATATATGGTTTTGTCCCCGTCAGGTGTTCTTTTGTTTTATATCGGTCACGTCCTGGAACAAAGAGAAGACATTTAGAGATTGATTGGATGACCTATTGAGAAGAGATTGAGAAATTTACTGAGCCATTTTTTTTATTAGTTTCATTCCACCTTTATTACTTTATAAGTAAATCAAGGCAGCAAACATATCTAATACTCCTTCCTTCTCCTATTTTCTCCACAACAACAACCCTGTGAGGTGAGTTGGGCTGAGTCTGTTAGGGATAACATTGGTTACCTAACTTAGTTTGGGTAAAATAATATATAAACTATGTTAGTTAGTTTAAGTGTATGTATCACTTTAAACTGTAAACCAAGTTTTTGGGTGCGGTTGTAAAATCACCATAAGAGGGAGCAAGAGAGCTCACTGTTTGCCTCGGCTTTTACTGGAATGCTGACAATGAAGGATTGATGGTGATAAACTGCGTGTTTGCTGAGAAGAAGAAAGGAGGTTTGATTTTCTTCATATCTCTGACTGCAAAAGAGATATATCACTGGACTGATTGATTGTAAGTTTACTGACCTCTTTTTCGACACTGGACTTTGCAAACTGAATAACCCCCGGATGGACTGAACTTAGTGTATGATATATGGACTGTTTTGACTATGCTATAACTCTTGCTGGAATAAAAACTATTTAACTTGCACAGTGTATCTGTCTTACTGAGTGTAAGCTACAACAACGTTATTATCTCACATATCTGCCTGCCTGCTAGACTGCCGTTGCACGTTCTGCTAGGGTGTATATCCCTAACAGAGTCACTGGCTCAAAGTCACACAGCTGGCTTTCATAGTTAAAGTGGGATTAGAGCTCACAGTCTCCAGGTTTCTAAGCCAGCATCTTTCATCACTACATCAAACTGGCTGTCATGCCCTTGTTAGAGTCGGACTCTGAGGGAGAGAAGGAGCAGCCGACAGGGAGTGGAGGTGTGGCTTCAGAGGTTGTGGAGGAGGCTGGGTAAGGGCAGAGGCCGGCTGGGCAGTCAGAGGAAGAACCAGGCCCATCCCCTCTTCATCCTAGGACATGCAGGGAGGAACGGAGAAAAAAACAACTTGGCTTACGAGAGAGGAAGCGGCCATGATCCCTCTCATTGATTGCAACTGGGGAAAATAGTATATAAGAGAGACAGTGTTGCCAGAAGCAAAACGTGTGTTATTTTGGGCAGAAATTATCTTGGTTGGCATCCTTCCAACAGACTGTGCCTTGTTATCTCTTTGAAGTTGGCAATTACTTATCCTGGTCCGTTGTGGAAATTCCTTCTTTACAGTTTGTTTTGTTTTTTTATTTCACCTCTATCTGCTCATTAAGTTTGGACTGTATTGCTTTCTTTTGAAGACTATTTTTGAATAAGTTTTATCTCCAACTGAGAATTACTGAACAGTGGGGCCAAGTTGGAGGCATTAAAGGACATTTATTTACCTTTTGGATTTTGTTACGTTTGTGTTACACTCCGGGTCATCACACTGACTTTAATTATACATGGCTTTATGTAGGGTTGTCAATGACTTTTGGCCTGGAAACTTTCACCGACACAGGACGAGGCACTTGGCAATTGTGTAGACCTGTGAGAATGTACACATATTACAGAAATGGCTGGCTGAGGAATTCTGGGAATTGAAGTTCCACAAGTCTTAAAGTGGCCAAGTTTGGAGAACTTTGTGCTAGACCAGTGCTGTTTGATCTGATGTAGTGCACCATATCTATATATCTATATATCTATATATCTATATATATCTATATCTATATCTATATCATCTATATCTATCTATCTATCTATCTATCTATCTATCTATCTATCTATCTATCTATATGGATCTTTGGTTATTCGGGTTTTCTCCCACGTAAAAAAATTGGAAGTATCTTGGCCAAGATATAATATGTATATTATATTATATATATATGTTGCCTCGCAGGAACTGGTCCTAAAATGCTAACTTTATGATTATCCATCAATGAAGAAAAGAGGGAACCTTACTGAGAGAAGTCACAATTTCAAAATTCTCTTCCATGATTTGCTTATAGAGAGCTTTCTGGTCGGGATCCAACAGAATCCACTCTTCCTCAGTGAAATACACAGCCAGCTCTTCGATAGTGGCCAGATCCTGATTGGAAAAGAAAAAAAATCATCATCATCATATGCACAGTGCATGGAATCACACTAAATGTGTGATTTCATCTGACATCTGTTTTCTTACTGCGCAAATAATCAATAGCCAATGGCAGTTAGCTATAATTACGGGAAGTCCTCAAGTTACAACTATTCATTTAGTGACTCTGAAGTTACAAGGGCACTGAAAATGTGACAAATGACTGGTCCTTGCATTTATGAGCAATGCAGCATTCCCCGCTGTCCCATGATCAACACTGGGGCACTTGCCAACCGGCATGTATTTACAACAGTTGTGATATCTCCCTTGGACAACTCCTCTGAGTCTTCCTCGGAGGTTGGCTCGAGGGAGGATGAGGATGAGCTCATTCATGGCACATCAGGAACTGGGTTAATTCATGACTCTGAACTGCCGGCTGAAAGATATTTACAGGAGGCTTCGGCTGGGGACAGTTTGCAGGTCAGTGACGTGGAGGAGCTGCCTTCCATGATGGATCCAAGAGCACACAGGGCAGAGAAAAGACAAGAGCAAAGGAGATCTGCCAGATTACTCAGGAAAAAGTCCCACCTTAACAGATAACCAGAGTTGGAAGGGACCTTGTAGGTCATCTAGTCCAACTCCCTGCCCAAGCAGGAGATCCTACACCATTACTGACAGATGGGAGTCCAATCTCTTCTTGAAAGTCTCAAGTGATGACGCTCCCACAACTTCCGAGGGCAACTCTTGTTCCGTTGGTTGATTGTTCTCACTGTCAAGAAAGTTTCTCCTTATTTCCAGGTTAAATCTCTCCTTGTTCAGATTCCATCCATTATTCTTTGTTTGGCCTTCAGGTGCTTTAGAAAGTAGCTTGATCCCTTTCTCTCTATGGCAGCCCCTCAAATATTGGAAGACCGCTATCCTGTCTCCCCTGGTCCTTCTCTTCCCTAAACTAGCCATGCCCAGTTCCTGTAACCGTTCTTCATACGTTTTAGTCTCCAGTCCCCTAATCGTCCTGGTTGCTCTTCTCTGCACTTTTTCTAGAGTCTCAACATCTTTTTTATATATGTGATGACCAAAACGGGACGCAGTATTCTAGATGTGATCTTACTAAGGCTTTATAGAGTGGTATTAGTACCTCACTTGATCATGATTTTATCCCTCTGTTAATGCAATTTAGGATTGCATCAAAAAGCTATTTATCATGGCAGGCAGAGGGAGGAGTTGCTGGGAACAATGTGTTGGGTTTTTGGCTGTGTGTTTGTTCATGCTTCCTGCTTGATTTGGTGCCTTGGAGTGTCTGAACTTCTCTTGCCAAGGGAGCTCTCGTGAATGTCCTTTCAGTTTTGCCTGGTGGATTTAGGTTTGTTTGGTGGGCTTACTGGTTGGAGGAACTTTCTATTGCAGTGATGGCTAACCTTTTCAGCTTGGTATGTCGAAAATCGGGAAAAAGTGTAGCCTTCCTCGGGTCGTGTGTCACTTCAAGAAATATCAATAATTTGGTTTATGACGGACTGGGCTGGGGTGATCACACAGGGCTGTGAAACTCGTCTCCCTGGTCTCAGGGCTGCAGGTGCAGGATGTGGGGATCGGAAGGCCACCTTACAGGGCTGTGAACCTCATGGATCTCCTTTCCTCCTGTAGCGTTCCTGAGGTAATGAAACTGACAAACCTCAGTTTATGGCGGTTAAAACTGGTTCTCTGCTGCAAAGATCTTGCGGCAGCGGTGACACCACGCCTCCACGCAACAAGCAGGGAGCAGGGATTGGAGCAGAGTACAGGCAGCCTCTAAATGTGCAGGTTTTCCCCACACCAACAGGCGTGTCAGTCAAAGTGCCTCGGCGTGTCACGAGTGACACGCGTGTCATAGGTTAGCCATCACTGGTCTATTGTTTTATGGACTATTGGCCATTGCCTTGTCAACTAATCTTGGCTTGCTTGTGGCTGGATTTATTTGGGACAATTCTGAGGTTGGGTGAAGGAAACTGCTGGGGAACATTAATAAACTCTCCAAAACACACATGTGTGTATGAGTGAGTGAGGCAGCACAACAGTTGCCGTGTCCTGGAGTCATAGGATTGTGATTTTATGATATCTCCAACTGGCTTCAGAGAAGCAAAATCAATGGGTGAAGCTAGATTCACTTAACGGCTGCATGCTTTGCTTAACAGCTGCAGGGATTTCTTTAACGGCCATGACAAAAAAAAGATGGTAAACTGGGCACCTGAATCGTCTAAATAAATCATAGAAAAAAACAAACGAACAAGCAAAACAAATAATATCCTTGCCTCTACCTGATCTGGGTCAACCACGGTTTCTATTCCACCGCAGAGAAAAACCGGAGACTCTGTACTGTTTGCCGGCATCAATTCATTCCCTACAAAGAGACAAGATGGTGGAAAGACTGAAGCATTTGCTAGCCTCAGAAATGCCAAGTTATGGCGCTAAACATCTTTACAGAGAAGTCAATCCCTTGGGTACATTAGGATTTATTTCTGAGTAACAATAAATAATTTCCGGCGCAATGGAGGCAAGCCAAATCCCCATAGATATAACACATCGTTCATTTAAACATTAGAAAAACTTCTAAAGATACCCAAAAGTGGACTGGACTTTCTGGGGTCTTTTTTTTGAAGACGTTTCTCTTCTCATCCAAGAAGCTTCTTCAGCTCTGACTGGATGGTGAGGAATGGAAGGATTTATACTCCTTGCAGACAGCGGGTCATAAATCCTTCCGTTCCTCACCATTCAATTAGAACTTGAAGAAGCTTCTTGGATGAGAAGCAAAACGTATTCAAAGAAAAACCAAAAAGTCCAGTTGCCTTTTGAAAAAAAAACAACAACTTTGGGACAATCATGAGCTGGATGAGTAAGAATCTCCATAGACACTCTAAAGATACCAGTCTTAAAAGAGTTAAAAATTAAAACAGTGTGGAAAAGGTGTTGGAATCCCGTTTCCCACCCCCGCAACCCCTTTCCCCTCAAATCAATTAATTTGATAACAATATTAATCATCTTTAACATAAGAGCATTTGAGAACAAGGTAAAGGTAAGCTTGTTTTTCTATCCCAAAGATCCATGGAGCAAAAAAAATAGTCCAGCATTTCTGACATGGGCCGGGAAGACAGATGTTTAACAGATCAGCAGAGTTGGAAGGGACCTTGTAGGTCATCTAGTCCAACCCCCCGCCCAAGCGGGAGACCCTACACCATTTCTGACAGATGGCAGTCCAATCTCTTCTTGAAAGTCTCAAGTGATGATGCTCCCACAACTTCTGAGGGCAACTTCTGTTCCATTGGTTGATTGTTCTCCCTGTCAGAAAGTTTCTCCTTATTTCCAGGTTAAATCTCTCCTTGTTCAGTTTCCATCCAATATTCCTTGTCTGGCCTTCGGGTGCTTTAGCAAATAGCTTGACCCCTTCCTCTCTGTGGCAGCCCCTCAAATATTGGAAGACCGCTATCATGTCTCCCCTGGTCCTTCTCTTCACTAGACTAGCCAAGCCCAGTTCCTGTAAATGTTCTTTGTATGTTTAAGCCTCCAGTCCCCTAATCATCCTGGTTGCTCTTCTCTGTACTTTTTCTAGAGTATCAGCAACTTTTTTATAGTGTGGTGACCAAAACTGGATGCAGCACTCTAGGTGTGGCCTTACTAAGGCTTTATAGAGAGGTATCAATACCTCACTTGGTATTAATGATCTTGAAAGGCCAAGCTGAAATACGTAACAGTGTCACAAATTCTTACCTTGCAACGCGATTCCTCTGGCATCTTCTTGCGGAATCCCTGTTTGCAAAGGATTCCTTACTACAGTGTCCAGCAGGGGAGCCTCTGGGAAATCGCATTCCATTTTTATAAAGGAGTGATTTCTCTGAAATGGCAACAAAGATCCGTGACTTAGAAACGGGAGCAGGATTGGAAAAGAAGAACGAGACAAATACAGATCATTCTCGACTTACAACGGTTTTTCTAAATGACCCTTCAAAGTTACTGTCATGCCACACCGTATAGCTTTATATACTCTTGTGGCCCTCTAGCCCCATCTATTGGCCGGAGAGACAAATATGCCCCAAGTATATTGTTTTTGAAGCTGACCCAACTCATTTTATCCATCAGCGCGCACTCTCAAACCAAGTGCATGCTGGGAAGCCAGATTTCATTTCCTTTAGCATTTGGAGAAGGCCGAAACACATGGTCATCTAAGGACAAACCCACATCCCACACGGAGCATCGCTGGTGAGATTTCAATTGCTTGTATTTATTAATTGTTACGTTCAGCTCAATACTGCCTGTCTTACATTTGGTTCTCATTGTATGTATCCCTATTTTCCCCAGTTTCACCATATCCTGTTCTTTCAATAAAGCATCCGCATCTACACACATGGTCTGTTTTATTAGAGGATAGGTGGGTTTAGCTGCATGTCGAGCTGCACACAGACTAATGTGTAGTGGGGACAGAACAGTTACAACGGCACTGGGGAAAAATGACTTATGACTCTTTTTCATGCTTACGACCATTGCCGCATCCATATGATCACTTGATCAAAATTCAGATGCTTGGTAACTGACTCATAGTTATGATGGTTGCAGTGTCCCGGGGGGGTCACGTGATCCATGTTTACGACCTTCTGACAAGCCAAGTCCACGGGGAAGTGAGATTTACTTCACAACCGTGTTATAACTTAACAACTCTGCAGTAATTCATTTTGAACAACTGTGGTAAGGGAGGTGGTCAAATTGGGCCAAAACTCACTTAACAACCTAACTTCCTTAACAACTTAACTCACTTAAAAATTGAAAAAAAAATGGATAAGAGAAATTACAAGGTATGATATTGAATTTAAGCCAGAAGCTATTTAAAGGAAACCCGAAGAAACATATCCAATACATCGTACAACACATATTAACAGCGGCAAGAATTGCTTATGCCCAAATCTGGAAAATAGATGATGTATCTTCAGAAAATATGGTAATAAATAAAATACTTGACTGTGTCGAGATGGACAGACTAAAAGGTAAAGAGGAGTCTGAGTTTTACGAGGTTTCGGAAATGTTATATACATGGTTAGATAAGAGAAATAAGGTTTCATATGGAGAAAAAAAGGTCAATATTGTATTTAAGTATATAAGTAACGCTTGACACAGAATTGTTCAAATGTAACTTAACAACTGTCTCACTTAGCAACAGACATTTGGGGATCAAAAATTGTGGACATAAGCCAGGGACTCCCTGTAGTTTCATTCGGCAGGGGTGGGATTCTACTGGTTCTGACCGGTTCAGGCAAACCGGATGTTAAAGTTACAGCTGGCTTGCCGAACTGGTATTTCAACCAACCGGTTGGCCCCTCTCCTCCCAGGAGTCTCCACGTGGCCCATGGTCAATGGAGGTAAGTGCAGGGCCACGTGGAGCAGAGGTGGGATTCAAACTGTTTTACTATCAGTTCTGTGGGTGTGGCTTGGTGGGCGTGGCAGGGGGAAGGATACTGTAAAATTTCCAGTCAGAGGTGGTATTTGCCGGTTCTCCAGAACTGGTTTTCCATTACCGGTTCTCCAGAACTGGTTCTCCACTACCGGTTCTCCACTACCGGTTCTCCAGAACTGGTTCTCCACTACCGGTTCTCCAGAACTGGTTCTCCACTACCGGTTCTCCAGAACTGGTTCCCCACTACCGGTTCTCCAGAACTGGCTCTCCACTACCGGTTCTCCAGAACTGGTTCTCCACTACCGGTTCTCCAGAACTGGTTCTCCACTACCGGTTCTCCAGAACTGGCTCTCCACTATCGGTTCTCCAGAACTGGTTCTCCACTACCGGTTCTCCACTACCGGTTCTGCAGAACTGGTTCTCCACTACCGGTTCTCCAGAATTGGTTCTCCACTACCGGTTCTCCAGAACTGGTTCTCCAGAACTGGTTCTCCACTACCGGTTCTCCAGAACTAGTCAGAACCTGCTGAATACTCACCTCTGGAGCAGAGGCTCTGGGAGGGGGAAAAAAACGGGCCTTCCGGAAGTCCAGAAACGGGCCTGTTTCCAGCTTCCGGAGGGCCTCCAGAGGCCGGGGGAGGCCATTTTTGCCCTCCCAGAGGCCCGGGAGAGGCCTCTGGACCCTTGAGAGGGCAAAAACAGCCTCTCGCAGGCCCGGAAGCTTCCACCGGAAGCTGGAAACAGGAAGTTCAGGGCCCGCCCACCCAGCAACCGGGCAGTGAACCGGTTACTGGGATTTTTTTAATCCCACTTCCACCCTGCAGGATGAATACGTGGCCCTTTGAAGGCGTCCTGGGGGGTGGGATTTCACCTGCTGCTGCTGCTCCTCCTCCTCCTCCGGCTTCTTCCACTCCGTCTGACCCAGGAGGAAGCCTTCGGCCAGGGCCACCGCTTGCGAGCTGCTCTCTGCTCCGCACTCCCTCACCCAGGTGGACATCTCCTCGGGCAGGATGGCCAGCAGCTGCTCCAGGATCACCAGATCCAGCATCTGACTCTTGGTGCGTCTCTCCGGTTGCAGCCACTGACGGGAAAGATGGTGGAGGCGGCTGCAAACCTCTCGGGGACCTCCCGCCTCCCAGTAGCAGACATCCCTGAAACACCGGCGATGGACCTCCGGATCCTTCTCCAAAATCTCCCACACGATCCTTTTCCGACACGCTTCACCGCTCTTGGACAGGGTGGGATGGTGGCCTTCTTTTCCTTCAGAGCCAGCTGAGCCTTGTTCCTCCATCTCTCTCTCTCTCTCTTTTTTTTTTAATGCCCCAGGAGAACCTCTAGCAAGTCCAAAGGAACTCTATGCCTTCCCAATTTGGCCTTAACAGAGCGCAATGCCACAGGCGTGTAGTGTTCAGGCTGAAAGAAGTCAATCAATCAATCAATCAGAACAGAGCTGGAAGGGACCTGGGAGGTCGTTCTAGTTAAGCAGGAGACCCTATACCATTTCAGATAGGTGGCTGTTCCAGTCTTGACTTAAAAACCTCTCCAGAAATGAAATTCTGCAGGCTGACAAGCAACAAGCAGACTTTGTTTTATCTTTGAATTGAAAGGTTTGGGTGCCCAGCCAAAGATGGCAACAGGAGGCCTGAATAGAATAGAATAGAATAGAATAGAATAGAATAGAATAGAATAGAATAGAATAGAATAGAATAGAATAGAATAGAATAGAATAGAATAGAATGGAATGGAATGGAATGGAATAGGAATAGGGTGGAATGTAATGGAATAGAATGTAATGGAATAGAATAGAATAGAATAGAATAGAATAGAATAGAATAGAATGGAATGGAATGGAATGGAATGGAATGGAATGGAATAGGAATAGAATGGAATGGAATGGGAATAGAATAGAATAGAATAGAATAGAATAGAATAGAATAGAATAGAATAGAATAGAATGGAATAGGAATGGAATAGGAATGGAATAGGAATAGGATGGAATGGAATGGAATGGAATAGAATAGAATAGAATAGAACAGAAAGGAATAGGAATAGGAATAGAGTAGAGTAGAATAGAATAGAATAGGAATGGAATAGGAATGGAATAGGAATGGAATAGGAATGGAATAGGAATAGGGTGGAATGTAATGGAATAGAATAGAATAGAATAGAATAGAATGGAATGGAATGGAATGGAATAGGAATAGGAATAGGAATAGAATAGAATAGAATAGGAATGGAATAGGAATGGAATAGGAATAGGGTGAAATGTAATGTAATGTAATGTAATGTAATGTAATGGAATGGAATGGAATGGAATGGAATGGAATGGAATGGAATGGAATAGAATAGAATAGAATAGAATAGAATAGGAATAGGGTGAAATGTAATGTAATGTAATGTAATGTAATGTAATGTAATGTAATGTAATGTAATGTAATGTAATGTAATGTAATGTAATGTAATGTAATGTAATGTAATGTAATATAATGGAATGGAATGGAATGGAATGGAATGGAATGGAATGGAATAGAATAGAATAGAATAGAATAGAATAGAATAGAACAGAAAGGAATAGGAATAGGAATAGGAATAGGAATGGAATAGGAATGGAATAGGAATAGGGTAGAATAGAATAGAATAGAATAGAATAGAATAGAATGGAATGGAATGGAATGGAATGGAATGGAATGGAATAGGAATAGGAATAGAATAGAATAGAATAGGAATGGAATAGGAATGGAATAGGAATAGGGTGAAATGTAATGTAATGTAATGTAATGTAATGTAATGTAATGGAATGGAATGGAATGTAATGGAATGTAATGGAATGGAATGGAATGGAATGGAATAGAATAGAATAGAATAGAATAGAATAGAATAGAATAGAATAGAATAGAACAGAAAGGAATAGGAATAGGAATAGGAATGGAATAGGAATGGAATAGGAATAGGGTAGAATAGAATAGAATAGAATAGAATAGAATGGAATGGAATGGAATGGAATGGAATGGAATAGGAATAGGAATAGAATAGAATAGAATAGGAATGGAATAGGAATGGAATAGGAATAGGGTGTAATGGAATGTAATGGAATGTAATGGAATGGAATGGAATGGAATAGAATAGAATAGAATAGAATAGAATAGAATAGAATAGAATAGAATAGAATAGGAATAGGGTGAAATGTAATGTAATGTAATGTAATGTAATGTAATGTAATGTAATGTAATGTAATGTAATGTAATGTAATGTAATGTAATGTAATGTAATATAATGGAATGGAATGGAATGGAATGGAATGGAATGGAATGGAATAGAATAGAATAGAATAGAATAGAATAGAATAGAACAGAAAGGAATAGGAATAGGAATAGGAATAGGAATGGAATAGGAATGGAATAGGAATAGGGTAGAATAGAATAGAATAGAATAGAATAGAATAGAATAGAATAGAATAGAATAGAACAGAATGCTTTATTGGCCAAGTGTGATTGGACACACAAGGGATTTGTCTTGGTGTAAATCTAATCCATAGATCTTTTTAGGAAGTAAAGTGCCTTAGCATTCAACAACACAACTAATCCTTCCTTGTCTCTTTAGAACGTGCTGAAATCGCTCTCTCTGCCTGCCATCATCTCCCTTTGCCTAACCATAGTTTTTTTTTTTTTCCCCCACCCTCTGGCCAGCTGGCTTTCTGTTCAACCGTCTACCCAGAAAGAGACAAGGCAAACGTTGCAAGAAATCAAAAAAAATATATTCTTGCAGACTTACGTTATCGGGGTGGAAATGCAGCAACGATCATTGAAGAACCCCCGTTTTTGTTTCTTCGTAATGCTGGAAGCTCAGCCCAACTCTCACCGATTCTCAGCAAGCCCCCTCCCCACCCAGACCCCAAGTGTCAAACCTGCAAGTCAGTCAGGTGCTCCCCTGCAACTCCCTCCATTCCAAGGGGACGTGGAGAGGAGGGTGGGGGGGTGTCACCCTAATCCCCAAAAGAGACTTCCCCCCACCCAGGCAGATTCAGGAGGTCAAAGCCCCTTTGACTGACAGCAGGCCAACAATTGAATCTTCCGGCAGGAAGCCTGTTCCACTGAGAAAGGTACTACGCCTTTTCCTCCACCGACTTCCGGCCTTTCTAGGCAGTGGCTCACCTTCCTTTAACCCTTTGAAGGGCGGACTGCAAACAGAGCCGAGGGGCGCATCCCTTGCACTCATTCAATACAGCTAGTCCTCGAGTGACGACCACGCCGGAGCCCAACATTGATGTGGCTAGGGGAAACATAACTTTATCTTCTTGCTAAACATAAATTTATGTTGCTAAGTGAGGCAATGGTTATGTTGTTTAAGTAAGTTTGCCCTGTTTTACGACTTTTCTTGCCACAGTTAAGTGAATGGAATAGCCATCTATCTGAAAGGGTATAGGGTAACAGATAACAGATAATCAGAGTTGGAAGGGACCTTGTAGGTCATCTAGTCCAACCCCCCCCCCCCCCAAGCGGAAGACCCTACACCATTTCTGACAAATGGCAGTCCAATCTCTTCTTGAAAGTCTCAAGTGATGAAGCTCCCACAATTTCTGAAGGCAAAGTTGTTCCATTTGTTGATTGTTCTCACTGTCAGAAAGTTTCTCCTTATTTCCATGTTGGATCTCTCCTTGTTCAGTTTCATCCATTATTCCTTGTCTGGCCTTCGGGTGCTTTAGAAAATAGCTTGACCCCCTTCCTCTCTGTGGCAGCCCCTCAAATATTGGAAGACTGCTATCATGTCTCCCCTGGTCCTTCTCTTCACTAGACTAGCCAAACCCAGTTCCTGCAACCGTTCGTTGTATGTTTTAGCCTCCAGTCCCCTAATCATCTTGGTTGCTCTTCTCTGTACTTTTTCTAGAGTCTCAACATCATTTTTATAATGTGGTGATCAAAACTGGATGCAGTACTCTAGGTGTGGTCTTGCTAAGGCGTGGTATTAGTACCTCACTTGATCTTGATTGTATCCCTCTGTTAATGCAACTTAGGGATGCATTAGCTTTTTTTGGAGGCTGCTGCACACTGCTGGCTCATATTTAGCTGGTTGTCCACTAAGACTCCAAGATCCCTGTCACAGTTACTGCTATTGAGCCTGGTTTCACCCAGTCTATATGTGTACTTTTGGTTTTTCTTGCCTAAGTGTAAGACTTTACTTTTCTCTACATTGAATTTCATTTTATTAGATATGGCCCAGTGTTCTAGTCTGTCAAGATCCATCTGGATCTCAGCCTATCTTCTTGGGTGTTAAGCTATTCCTGACAGCTTAGTATCATCTGCAAATTTGGTAAGTTCCCCTTCTATTCCCTCATCTAAGTCATTAATGAAGAATACTGGGCCTAAGACGGAACTGTAAAGTTCGGCTATAACTTAAGATCACGCTGTGCCAAAAATGAACTTAAGCAGAGGCTTTGAAGAACAAAATCTAACTTTTATTGATCAATAAAAGGGTAAGAGCTCTCCTCTCATACACACAGATATGTGAGGAAAGTTGCAAAGCACACAGACGAAAGTAACTCTTCTTATACCTTAAGATTCTTTTAGAAGTAGAGTAACTGCATTGTAAAACACTCTAATTTAGATTTAAACCAGATGGATTCAGATGGGATAACCATGTGTCTTCATAGGAGAAAGATGTAACTAATTGCAGGCTAGTTTTACAACACGTGAAAGGTTAGAGAAATATTTTCCACAACAGGATAAGATAAGAAATGCCTATAGAGATAAATACTGTACTTCTATATACATAGGAAAACAACTGCCTAACATCAAGATAAAATATGCCTATAGAGTAACTCTCCACTCTCTCTATAATATTTTTTTTTATTTCTTTCTTTTATTTATTACCCTAACAGAACGTTGTGGACCCCACTGCTTACTTCCTGCTTGAGCAAGGGGTTGGACTAGATGACCTCCAAGGTCCTTTTCCAAGTCTATTCTGATTAGTTGATTGGTAGTGTTAGGGATAATATTGTTTACCCTAACTGGTTTGGGTAAAAATAATAAATATGGTATCATGGTTTGTTAGTTAAAGTGTGTGTAACTTTAACTGCAAGAATGTAATTAAGGGTGTGGTTGTAAAAGCACTATATAAGCGAGGCAATTGCAGCTCTCTCTCTCTGGCTTACTGATCCCTAATTACTGGATGGATTGATGACTGCGTTCTTGCTGAAACGGGGAGAGAAAAGGGAGTGTTGATTTTCTCAACAGAGAGAAGATAAAGATTGGACTGATTTATTGTAAGTGAACTGACATTGGCTATTTAACACGGACTTTGCAAAAAGAGTATCCCCGACAAGATTAGACTGAAATTGATATATGACTAATGGACCGTTATTTTGACTATGCTATAATTCTTAAATGGAATAAACAATATTTTTGATAGCACAAGCATAACTGCGTGTTAACTAGAAAACTTATCTCACACATTTACCTGTCTTCGCTGCACGTTCTGTTTAATTTGTTTTCCTTAACACCCGTTGGGGAATCCAGGCTTAACAGGTAGCAACACGGTGGTGACGTGATTCTGACTTTGCTCGTCGGAAGGTCACAAAAGGGGATCACACGACCCGCGGGACACTGCAACCGTCATAAATATGAACCAGT